TCACTCAACCTGAGTGGTCAGAGAAATAGAATTTTGTGTTTGTGTTAGTTGAATCATTTGGGAGTGGGGATGGACAGAGTGGATTGGGTTCGAGAGATTGTCCCAAAATTTTCCATTTGCATTACCCTTCAGGGCGCGGTCATACAACAATTGTTCTTTTTTATTTTAACCTGAGGTGATGATACATCCTCGCTCAGGTCGCCCATATCGCGGGATCAATCTGTTTGTGCGTGTTCCGTTTACCTGATGTGCTTTTGTACTTTTTCACCTTCGTGTTCCCTCTTCAGCAAAGTGAATCGGTCGTTCCGTGGCATGATGAGTCCTATCGTGGTCCATTGCCCGTAAGTGTCCTTGTGTGTACCTCCGACCCGCATTTGTGTTGATCGTATCTATCCCACTGTCGCGCGAGCCTAATACAATTGAAAGGGGCTTACACTCATGGTAGATACAATCCAACGTAGGACGGCTGTCACCTTCTCGCCCTTTATAAAACGAACCCTGTTTTATGAGAGCTGTAGCGTGGACCGCATATCATTTCCAAACACGCATTGCAACATGCACGCAAAAAGTCATTCAGAATGTCGATATTCAGAGATAAGAGGAATGACAGAAATTGCAAACCAGAAACAAGGTACAAGTGCAGAATATAACAGGTACAAACCCCAATACAGATACGAGAACAGTTGTAGTGTGTGCTTTCTCAAATCCACTCACATACTGTATCCTGCAGGAGAATCAACTTTCTCTATTTATGCATAACACGATGCTGTAGTCCTGAATATATCATTAACTATACCCTATTTGATGCCTATTCGTTACTACGGATGATCACACATTCAGCCGCATTTTAACCACACTCGCAAATGCTCCACGAACATCCTCACGAATTTTAGTTTGTCCAACTTAACCTCGGTTTGAAAAGAAAAAAACAAGGCAAGGGAGAAGAAAACCGTGTTCCGAACTGAGACAAACAATCGCTCAGTGGATTGAACAGAATGGATCACGGACAACTTCGAGCGATAATGATCAGCTGTTTTATACGATTTGGTCTCCCGAAATTTCATCCCTGGGGGTGACAAGCGGAAGTTCAAACTACGGATTATTGATTGATTTCTCTGTTCGGCAAAGAGGTGAACCAAGTAGTCTGTCGTTTCACATGACACAGGTTGATATCGTCAAAGCATGACCTTGCAAATGAAATGAACACGTCGTGGATCGGATATCTAAGTCACCACGTGGAACCCAACAATCCCGCCAACCNAATCAAATATCAAATCGTAAATAGCGGTGTTGAATTTCGTCCTAATTAGCTATGTGCGCTATGGTCCATATGAGATCCTCTAGAAATTAAGTTAACCTATACAGGGCTACCCTAGGAGAAAGTTACTAATTTATTTTGGCAAGTAATAAAGCAACGGATGCTTGATGGAAGCTATCTCACAGGCATAACCAATGACATGTTCGGCAATAAAGCACACCCCTACGCAAAGCATCATTCAAAGACGAACAAACTTTTCAGGCTTAACTGAACTTTGCGCTTGAAGACAAATATGGTTTTGTCAATTCGGTTTTCGTTTTGGTCGAATTGCTCAACGACGAGTAGAATCACAGCAAGCATACCAATTGCACCAATTTTGTTTCGGGTCAAAAATATTGCATGTCTTTCGTGCGTT